ATGCCCGGGCTCCCCGGGACCCAGCCGCCTGCCTGCCAGGCTCAGCTGTGGGGGCCGCCCTGTCCCTCTGCGGCCTGTGATGGCACGAGGCCTGAACCCCACAGCCCTGCTGGGCAGTAGCCATGGGTGGCAGCTCCATGGGACCTAGCTGCTTCCTTTGACAGTAGGCCTCATCCCCCTCCCCCACCCGTCCACCCTGTTCCATCAGGCCCTGGGCTGGTGGGACACTGAGCAGATGTTTGCTGAGCTCTACCAGGACCAGCCACCCCTTGTCCTCAGGGGTGCCCGAGCGTGGGGACAGAGACCACTAGGCTGGCCCACAAGCCTTCTCTCTGCTCCATCCTGGGCGGTCAGCAGCACTTCCCAGAGATGCTGAGCGGGAGGGCTAGGCCCGCAGAGAGCACATGGTGCCTCGAGTGCCCACGGAAACGCCACAGGACGCTAGGACAAGGCTGAGGGTACATCCTCAGGCCCCCCACCTCCCACGAGAGGTGCTGGGCCCGGCGGTGTCCTGCCTGGGACCCAGAGGAGGGGTCGAACGCCTTTGCATTTTGCACACGAAGCTCAACCTTTTAAAGGAACAAGGTCCCTCCATTCAGTTTTGTCGATCAGCTGTTCTCACTGAACTGGACGTGCCCCGGAGCGCCTAGGGACTCTGTATGTGCCAAGGTTTGAGCTGTCTGGCCCGGAGACCCAGGAAGTCACCAGAGGAGGGTCCTCCCGGAAGAGGCGGGTCTGGACGTGGGTGGCGGTCCAGGTGTGGAGCTGGGCAGGGCTGCAAGCAGTGTGTGGCCAGAGTACCATCCGGGGAACATGGCTCGGCCTGCAGAATCAGCACCTGGTGGTGGCCCCTGAACAGAGTCAGACGGGGCACAGGGCCCAGTCCAGGGATGGAGCGCCCCTCAAGGCACAGGGATGCCTGGGAGACAGGGCCCGTCCCGCTTGGGGGGCGAGGGGGGCTGCCTCCTGTCTTGAAGGGGGACGGAGCGTGGGCCAGATCTCTGGGAGGGAAAGACGGGCTTGGGGACAGCCTGGGCAAAGGCAGGGGGAGCACAAAGCACACAGCTCGGGTGTGGGTGCCGGGTTCGGGAGTGAGCTGCACTGACGGGCTGGGACTGGATTGTCACAGTGTCACCGCCGGGTGTGGGCTGCGGAACCGGGAGGGGCTGTGGCCAGTGCGAGTGTGACTCAGGGCAGCACCTGGACTTCCGGAGGCGACGAGACCAGAGGTGTGGGGGCCCCAGGGGCCCAGAGAGCACAGTCGTGAAGCGTCTCCCCATCTGCACAGGGTCCCCGAGGTGCTCGTGCCTGACCCCACTGGGACCAGACAGGGCCGAGCCGTGGGTTCGGGGGCCCACGTCGGGGGGTGGCCGGCGGGGTTGCGAGCTCTCGCCTCCCATGTCCGGTCTCCTTTGAAGTGGACGGTTTCAAGTTTCCTGCTCACAAACCTCCACGCCGGCCTTGCACGGAAACGCAGGCCCAGCGTCCCGTTTCCAGGGGGTCGATCTCAGTGACAGGCTCGATGCTGAGCCGCCTGGCTGCCATGGCGACACGTGCAGACACATGCTCACGGTTGTTCTATGATCCCTCGAACGACTGTAAGCTGATCGAGTTCAAAACATGATACGGTCTGGGTGACCATTCTCATGGGTTTTCTCTAAACTTGTTTACGATCCACTCACGAGGCGGAGCTCGTGTCCGAGTGCAGGGTGGCCCTGGATGCCCTGGATGTGGTCTGGGCTCGCCCGGTGGCTGCAGGGCCTGATGCCAGGCCGGCTTTTCTGTCTTGAATGTAGCGGCCTCGTGGTCTATGCAGATGGACCCCTGAACTTGGACCGCAAGGCGGAAGACATGTCTGAGCTGTTCCGGCCCTTCCACACGCTGCTGCGGAAAATAAGGTGGGGAAGGAGGGGGA